ACGTCATCAAAATAAAATTTCTACAAGATCCGTATTTGCGCATGTGCGAAACTGAGCGAGCGAGGTAAACATTTGTGCCAGCCAATACAAACCCACCGACCATGCATGATATTGCTGAATTTCTCGCAGAATTACCACTCGCAGGCTCATCGATAATGCACAAAATATTAAAATTGAACTTGTTTTGAGCTTCACTTGAGTCGTTAAAAGGCACTGATGTAATTGTTTGGACATTTTTTTGGATTATTTGCAGTGTTCTTTTATTCCAGCATGTTTTGAAAAGTAATTTTACGGCATTTTTTGAAACTGCTTGGCGCACCGCCATCTTTATTTTGTTTTTCGTGGCTTTAAAARCTCGCGCCATCATAAAACTCGTTCCCATTTCCCTCGCGGTAAAAATTAACTATATGGAGCTACCTTAACGTACTTGATCGAAGAAATGACATACTGTCTGGCAAACATTTAGCACAAAAAGATAGCTGCTAACCTTATAATCCCCTTTTAAGTAGCGCTTTGCCAGTTTCAGCATCGACGATATTTCTTTAGACCATGACATTCCTCTTTGATAGCAGTCTCCAAGTTTCTCGACAATTTCTTGTAAATCATCAAAGGCCTTGGCCCCATCAGCAGAAAAATAGTCAAGCCCCTGAAGAGATTTGCGCATCGATGCCGAGCACACTTTCAGTATCCTTAGATTGCTGCTTCGACTAAGAGGGGAACTGAATCCAGTTTCGATGCAATAGCGCTCATACTGCTTCACAATCTGCTCTGGAATGGAGGTTCTTATCACATTTGGGATCTTGATTTCAGTACCAGATGAAAGTTTTAGAGTTTTTTCCCCAAATGGCAAGTCTTGGGTAGCTCTTGAACTTGTTATGAACGCTAAAAAATGGTCCAGCTGTTCTGGTGAAGCCCTCATTCGCGTTTGATGTTGGTCGCGTTGAGGAACTTCAGATCCTCTTCCATGGAGCAAAAGATGGTGGCGTGCGATGGTAAAACGATATCTTGATATGCCAGGGATCCATTTTTGCAGGGTTGGGAAACTGATTTTATCAGCAATGATGGAGAGGATCTGTCTTCGGCTGCTCCAGTGACTTGCATTTTCGTAGCATTCAACCAGTGCTTCTAGAAGTGTTGAATCCAAGTCAATTTCTTCCCCCATAGCTCTTTCTTTCACGGCACTTAACAGCTCTTCAGAATTTTCGGGTGCAATTTCTTCAAGCGCAGCGTGAATGACTTGCTTAGCTTTTCGTATGTAATGTCTTTTTGTCCGCTCTGCAGCTGCATCCCATGGAGTGGTCATCGATGTCCTGATGGGGCTTACGTCTCTAGAAGCAAGAAACGCATTCAACTTTTCTCGAGGCGAAATGATGACAGGATCTTCCATCTGCGAGAGTTCAGAAACTTGAGAAAATTCTGAAGGAGAAAAGACCGTTGAAGCCATTGCACTTTGGGGAGTTCGAAGAACTGGATTACTTTTGTGCCTAGGTGTCTTGAAAATGACTTCATCGTCCTCATCATCATCCTAAAAATAATGATATACCATTATTTCTTTCTTTCTTTCTTCCTTCCTTCACTTCCTTTCTTTCTTTTTCTTTCTTTCATGCATGCATTCATCCATCCATGCATTCATCCATCCATGCATTCTTCCATCCATGCATTCATCCATACAGATATACTAGAACGTTCACTGAAAGACCTATAAGGTAAGGCCTGGCCCTATACATACCAAAGTTGTTTTCTTCAATTGATATTCTAGCTCATCAACATCTAACGTGTAAAGATTCTTGAGCAGTTCTCTACATTTTCTGCATACTCCTTTGGAGAGAAATGTAGCTCATAAGAGATCAACATAAGACTAGTCAGTCAAAATCTAACAAAAGAAATCTTACCTGAGCCACACTGAATAAACACGCCAGTCTTTTGTAATACATGTAGGGAATCATATTTCCCTAACCCTCTTTCGCCCTTAGGCCAATTTTTCTTCTTCGTGGTAGTGCTGTGCTGCGACAAAGCCGGAGGCACTCTACATTGTGTACTCGCACCTCTTGTCCAGCCTAGCCCAAGTTTCCCGCGATGGAACGGGCATATAGTCATATCTTTCGCATTTTCTGGTGCTGTAAATATGGCAGCCCGGGACAATATCAAGTCTACCTCATTTTCAGGCCCAGAAAACCCAAAAGACGCTAAATGCTTAGTTATATCTCTTGAACAGGACACCAGTGGGATGACATGAACCTCTTGTTTCTGGTCTCRACTATCTGAACCACATATTCCACCAACAATCGTCTTGAATGAACAACATACCTCCATACCGCTTTCGAATTTCTTCTTCCTCTCACAAAATAGCTACGCTTCACATCAAACAATATCACTTGAGTAAACATTGAAAACATTGTTTATCATTGCGTAAGTTTAACTAATTGAAAACACATTTGGGAGGTCAGTCTGTTTTGAAAATACTGTAATTGATTTCTTTATAATCAGAGAATCATATAAGTTGAGCATGAAACTATTTCAAAAAAAAAAAAAAAAAAAAAAGTTATTAAATACACCGATTGTAAAATCTTGACGCAAAAGTGAACAAACCCGACAAGTTCAATGTTACGTAAGGTTGGGCTCCCTGTGGCACTCGGCCGTTGACAAGTGCCTTGACAAGTTTGAGTCGGTAATGAAAGAAACCAGATCGATGTTGTGTCTAAAAACATTCATAAAAATCCAGATTTCAGAGTTTGCCAGGTAAGAATTCTTATACAGCTACATTATTTAAGGCTATAAAAGTGTTTTAGGCTTGTTTTTGAGTTTATATTTTACTTATAAACACTAGTATCTTGTCTGTTATAGAAAGCGGCCAGAGGTCAGAAATGAGTAATTTGACCAAAGTTTGAAGACATACTGCGTGACACACAATCATTTGCCCAAAGATTTCTTTACATCACTAGAAAGACCAACATCTGACTAATCAACCAGCGAAGTTTCACGCGACTGAGAGGTTAAGCAATTTCAGAATGAATATTTCTTAGGATACATTACCCTAACTAACTTGAAAGTATGAGCGAAATCGATTTTTCGAAGTTTGCCACGGATTTTGAATTTGGCTTGATCGTTACAGACAGTCCCTCTTAAATACTTCAGGCTTCAGGAATTAAATTTTTTTTGAGATATTTTAAGAAAAAGAGAAGCAGCAAGAAGTTAAACGCAACCCAGGGAAAACCTCATACTAGGTTGTCACGCTCAGAATCCAGTGTAATAAAATAGCTTCAAAAACTTATAAATTTCACATACAGTAACTCTGAGCACTACTTGTACCTACACTCTTTAACTCATAGATTTTTTAGCATTCTTCTTATTGATATTTCATGTATTTTTGGATGAATATATGAGTCCGTGCCGTGCAAAATTCTTCCAGGTCGTTTCCAATTCGTAAACAACAGAAACAGTGAAATAACTCCAGGTAGTTCACAAAATTTTTTTCAATGTAGATGGCTTCTTCACTTAACATTTTTCAAAATCTAAACATGAATTGCATCATATATTTATACTGTATTAGTTCAGTCGAGGAAATAAGGGTGCGTGACACTTTGTATCATCAGTCTAGAGTTATCTGTTACTCTGCAGGTCAACATGGTTTCACTTCATAGTCGAATATAATATTTTCTACTCTATCCGTTTTCTATCCTGTCTCACAGTATCTAGCCATGCCTATCTTTGAAGATCAAACGATTCATTACAGCCCTTTTAGCATTGCACTAAATACTTCTAAGAGTTTAATAATCACTGAAATGTTACCACACTCCAAAACTGTTTGATAAACCGGGAATATATTATTCCCGATCCGGAGCGAAGACGACTCAGCTCGAGCAATGGCAATTATAAGTAAAATGTTACCTGTTATCAACTGCGGTTCCCTATAACAACTCTAGAAATTTCTATCTATGCTGCTGTACTTTTGGTGTATTTACTAAGGTTTTGACAAGTTTTATCCACAGCAAATGAGATAATATTTGATCTGGTCGGAACCCCTTCAGTCACCTCACTTGCTTTACTAGGTTGTGTTCGCTTCAATATACCAGTAAATTAGGCTACGAATCCCGATGAGAACAGGAAATGGAATATTTAGATAATGAACTTCCTCATAGAAGCCCAAGAAAGCAGTTAAAAGTCCAAAGACTTCTAAAAAACCCAAAAAAACGCAAGGAAGTTTTCAGTATCCCATACATTTCTTTGTAAATCAAGAAGAACGTGTTGCTACTATGACGTCACTAGCCCAGTCTCCTCTGTAGCTCGGTCATATTTTGGAATCTTCTTATTTTCGCATTTTTGACCGCTCGAAAAAAATAGAAAGAAGCGTCAGAATCAAAAAATTCTTTCGAAATGTTTCTTAGAATAGCTTATATTTCGATATAAAAAAGTAAAAAAAAGGGTCATAGACACTTTAAGTTTCAATGATATCTATATAATAAACAGAACATTACATGGCCACTTCGAGATACAAATTTTATCTTCTCGTGTTCAATTTAGATATATCAATTAAATATCAATTGAACACTCGAAGATAAAATTTGTATCTCCGCGCACCCATGTAATATCCTCTGTATTACAAAGTGTGGAGGGACTGGACAACCATTTCAAATGGTCATCTGAGCCACTTGAAAGCTTAACCATTTGTAGATATAATTACAAATGCAGTGCTTTCCCTGTGGTTATTATAAGATCCTGACTAATGGTCTGGCATGGGATAAAACCCACTATCTCCTACACAACAATCTGATGCTCAATCAACTGAGCCAGTCTGGTGGCAGATTTCATAGAGTATTACTAGCCAATAAGGAAAGAAGAGAAAATTTCCTACCTCTCCAGAAAGAAAGGAATCCCTCTGCTCTATAAGTTCTGGCTGTGCAATCAATAACACCCCTGTATGGGGTTTGGAGCCTTCCTTGTTTTATCATTTCATCTTGATTCTGGACCAAAAGCTTCACACGTTCAATGGGTGCAGCGGCTGTTTTTGAAATGATTGCAGCTGCTCCACTGAGGCCAAAGTTTTCAACAAAATGCAGTTTCTTTTCCAAGGGCTGAGACATCTGAAAAATCAAAATAAAACATTTGAAGCAAAAATCTATAGGATATATGTACAACTACAATGTATTCAAAACAGGAAATGATGCACTGCTGTCCAAAAAAGGCTTAAGGAATGAATAGAAAAGCACCATTAGATATTCGATTGCTTTCGGGTTTTTGGATGATCTAGAAAAACAGAGGAATTTTAATCTTCAGCAAAAATTTTTACCACGATAAAAATTATCAAAAATCTCTAGCATAGAACACACTTTCACTTAACGGAGATGCCGTGAATTTTAACAGCAAAGACAGATTTAAAAGTTCTATCAAAATACCTTACTCCTGGAAGCAAGTACGTCATAGTTGCGCAATATACCGGCGAACGACAAGCAAACACAAGTATAACCAGATCTGGTTTTATAAGAATTACTTCACTAAAAGTTTTGGCTCACTCTATACTTCGCATAAATGAGATTCCTAATGTTTCTCTACCGAACCGCTTCAAAAACACCAGCAATGGTAACATATCAGTATAATTCTTGTCACGATTTTCATAGGGGGAGGAATTGAATACTATACACGTGAATGGCCGCCATAAACGCCATTATCAAAAACGACAAAATCAAGGTATAAAAATACACTTAATCTGAAATATACTTGATTATTACTTAACACTGTCCATCAATGTTTGAGGATTTTTCAATTCTAGCAGTAATAGAAGACATTTTAACCTAATACGAGTTTAACAGTTCGATGGCGGCGTCGATCGAGCTATTACACATTGAAAATTAAGAACCTTAAGATCAAATAGAATACAATCGTCATATGAACCACTATGTGAACTAGTTTAGAGTTTGACTTCCCAAGTACAACATCTGCTACTTACTTTGGGACTGGAGTGTTTCCGAACGCGGAAATCAAGGGATAATGTAAAGACAAGTTAAAAGTTGAACCGGCCAAACCAAGGAAGGATCAAAAGAGAAAGAAGCCACGACGCGCAGACAGCCATCTACATCACATGACTTACCTGATTGGTTGATTAGATCACGTGAATTTAACTAGGCCACAGGCCCTTCAGGCCTAGCCTGACTACGAGGCTACTTCCTTAGACTTTCGATCGACGATCCTTTCGACTTGAGATTGCCGATTTCATGGTTCTATAAGTTAGTTCTCATTCCTAATTTACTTATGAAGTACCAAAATTGCTTGAGGTAGAAATCGCTGTGACAACGGTAGATATAGGTAAGTCATAATGATTCCCGAAGGATGCTTTCCATTGTGCTTCTTCCTTTGGGATGGACTTTCTCTTTTATATTATTAGACATGTCTGACTTTAATATTCTTTTCATGGTTTTATTTTAAAGTTCTTATTTGTTTTTACTTATAAAAAGGGTTGCACTGATATCGATCAGCACTTTAACTTGCTGTTTCTTCTCGGTCGGTCTTGCTCTGTTTTAGGGAGCATCATAGGTAGATCTAGGTATCTATGTTAGATAAGTGAGATAAGTCATTTCTCCCAATAAAGTCCAATTATAAACGATGAACTCAGTGATTTCCGAAGAAAATGTTTTAGCGAAAACAAGTCCATGAATTCCGCTTATGCGCAAAATCATGTCCCGTAAAGTAACCGAAAGTAAGGGACTTGCCAGAACTTAGAATTATCACCACCATTCTCATTCATGGATAAAGGTAGATGTTGCTTGATATCAAGGGGAGGTCAGGAAATTTCATTCGTATTGCTTGGGAGCTGAGGGTCACATCATTTCATTAAATATCATTTACTCCTCACTTACTCACCCCAGTCATTATTGAGAATCGAGCTATTCCTGATCTGTGGAAACGCCCTATTGCTAGCATTTCGCAAAATGTTATGGCAGAAGTCCATAACTGGTTTTAGCATAAACCTACTAGCATACTATCACGAATCCTGCAATCTGATTGGCTAACGTACTCACTATCTATCCTTTGATAGATGCGAAAAACTCAAGTGCATGGTCAAGTTTCGCTGGAATCTCTGCTTTTTTTCTAACAATTATTTTTGAAAATCGATCGTAGAAAAGACCAGACTGTATCAAAGAAAGGAATAGATTAGAGATGGTCGTTAGAGATAAATTGAAAACTGAAGAATAATTGCTGGGGCCACGTTACTTTATGCATTTGAAAGAACAGGGTCACAAGAAAATATGCCATGGGAAATGAAAATGCACCAGCCCACCCCCCCTTCTTATAAATGACCGGTCCCTAAATCCGTTTTTTCTTACTCGTTCAATTAGAAAAGTTCCCAAAAAGAGATAAAAAGGTGGAAAATTTTGTAAAGATAGTTTTGACCGTAATAATAGAGACAAAAAGCTATACGAATAGAGAGCACTACTTGAAGTTTAAGCTTATACGTTAAGATATGGAGTTCGCAAAGATGAATGAAAACAGTGCCGCCGGTTTACCGTGGCTTTGTACAGGAAAGGTTTCAGTGTCATTCTTTGTTTTCAATGCTGTAATATTAGCTAGTAGGTTTATGCTAAAACAATAAGGGCTACTCGTTCTCGTTTTCTATGAGTCAAATATATAGTCGATTAAGCGCTACGCAGTGGCGGATCCAGGGGGGTCGAAGTAGTCTCCCCCACAGCCGCTTTCAGTGTCGTCACGCAACGCTTTCTCCCCTGACTAGCAGGGGAGAAAGCGTTGCGTGACGACACTGAAAGCGGCTGTGGGGGAGACTAGGGTCGAAGGGGTCCACGGAAGCCCCCTTGAAGGTTTGATCTTTTAGGTAATAGAAATATGTCTTATATAAATTTATAAATTTTAATAAATTTTAATTTTTATATGTTTGTAATGTTTAATTTACCTTTGAGTTCCGTAAATTAGGTGATTAGAGCCAATTTTTTTGTCAAACATCGACTAAACAAAAGAGAATTATACACAGTTTAAGAAACGGAACCCCCCTTTGAAAAATCCTAGATCCGCCACTGCTACGTGCCTCATCGACTATGGATCTATTAACTCACCAAGAAGAGAAAAAATATGGTATTTTTGCGCTACGATGTGAAGACCTACGAAGTGTTTAGTCTTGTTTTGCCGACTTCATGACCTCATGCAAAACAACGACTTTTTGTCGAAAAATTTCAAGTATTTTTCTTTTTGCATTTTTCTTGCAAGAAATATGCTTTTGATAGATACCTTAATTAATTAAATAGATTTTTGCTATTCATTCCCCAGAAAGAGGAAAAATATTGTATGTTTTGAGGTCATGTAGCCGGCGAAACAAGACTAAACACTTCGTAGATTTTCACATCATAGGCAAAAAATACCACTTTTTTTTCTTCTTCTTAGCGATTTAATAGCAAAACTATACTTTAGATACCTACTAAGAATATATTTCTTGCAAGAAAAGGGGATTTTTATTGTTATTTAGTGCGCTAACTTACCTTTTATCACCAAAAAAACCCACCCGAATCTCCATCTTTTTTCACATTCTCGCAAAAATCCTGTAGAATGCAGGCCACAATGGCCGATTTGATCACGCGACCTCTTAGTGCAAGTCGCATAAATATATTTAATCATATTTATATTAAATATATTTTAAATTATTAGTTAGTTCACGCCTAGTTCACGCGCGATGAATAAAGCACAGGCAGCCCAACCAAAATCTTACGCGCTGGGACCTCTCGCGACTTCGCGATGGACGTTCGTCAACTCGATTTTTTCTAACTTTCTTTGCTCGTGCTATGACTCTGTGAGTCTCAGAAGGTTTGGCTTGGGGTCTAGCAAGCCAAGTAAACGCTCGAGTGTTTTGGATAGGCACAATTTTTTTTGGTAAAGCTATTTGCAGTATCTGACACAAAATTAAACTGTCGAAAAAAGTTTGTCAAGTATTTAGTACTACTATTTAAACGCTCGTTATTAGGCATCTGGAAGTACAAAACTTTTGTGAAAGATTGACTATTTAACACTTATTTTGTGGTTCCGAGACCGCTGATGTTTCTCGAGTCGGAGCCGAGGGAAACATCAGCGGTCGAGGGACCACAAAGTATACTGCTTTCCCGAGGTCCCAGTAAATAAGTGCTTTATTATCATACCAAGTGTCAAAGAGAACAAAACAAAAATGGAGAAATGAATAAGATTTTTAATGTTTCGTGAAAGAAAAGGTGTCGGTGAATTTTGCAAACGCGCGCTCAAATCACAGCAGGCTAACCACTCTAATAAATGAAGTTATTATATGATCGTGAATCTTAGAGCCTGGACACTAGCAAATCGAGCAATCTGATTGGATAGATCGCATCGCGGACTGGTCTAGATTCTCCGGTATTAACCGGTCCGATCGCATATTAATCTTACGGCGAAAACATTTTGTCCTTTTCAATGAAAAGTGGTCATATAATAAAACTCTTATCAACCGAGCTTGGTCGGTCTGTACGGGATAATCTTGACCTCGGTCGGGTACAGACCTCGCTGCGCTCTGTCTGTACATTCCGACCACGGTCAAGATTATCCCGTACAGACCTCCCGCTCGGTTAATAAGATCTAAGTACTAAATGGTGTCTTGTCTTTGTCTTTTTATGCGCGCGCGCTATCGATGTTTTGTCATCTCCCCTACCCCCCTTGGTAACAATTTTGTTAGGGGAGATGACAAAAAATCGATAGCGCGCACGCATAAAAAGACAAAGACAAGACACCATTTAGTACCTTCATTTATTAGAGTGGTTAGCCTGTGCTCAAATGTGTTGCTTTCTGAAATTGAGGAAAATTGAACTTTGACACTTGGTATATAATAATAGTATTGATGTTTTTGTCTTGTGATTTATAGTTTGTTTTTGGCAAACATCAGGCATAGTTTGGATAGATCGAGTCATGCCACGCTCCCCGGCTCTCATGATTGCTGACCCGCGAAAAGTTTCTACTGTTTCACCAACCATAATAGAATGAAATAAGAAATCACATACACAGCTCCTTATTTTGTCACTATTCTTCATTACCTGTCAAAAGTTTGTTTCTGTTAACTTTCTGTGGTTATTCGTTCTTGTAAATTATTCAGGTTGTAAAATCATTTATGTATGGTGGCCCTGAAGGGACAGGCGTCTTTTTTGTTCAAGGTTGATAGTTTTCAAAACTTTCAACATTATTTTTTTTAAGCTCAACTTTCTTTTTTCGAAAATTCACTCTTTCCCGAAATGCAACTGATACGATGATCGCGGGAGCACACCGAAAACAAAATCGACACAAAATCGCCTAAAAAGGCACATTTTTACCGACAGTCCATTTTACCGATTTTTTCGGCTCTGAACCCACGCAATCTTGTAAAACCATAATTTCTCAAGGGTAGTCACTCGTAGGGACTGGAGTCTCCAGCCTTCACAATGTTTATGAAGAGGAGAGAGCAGATCAGTTTGAAAAATCTCAGCAAATGAGCCTCGGATCGAGCTTTAACTTTATACAGTCAATAACTAAAACACTGACACATCAAACAACATATCAAAGTTTTGTCAAGAGTTATTAAAACTAACCTCATTTTTGTATCTTAGCAAATGGACTACATACATTTACAGTCAATTGTAAACAAGTATAACATTGCTTAGGCTGCATGTGGTGCGATCATGTTGATTTTTGGGGGAAAAGTTTTGAAAAAAAATTGTTTCGAAAAAAAGTTGAGTTTGAAAAAATTAATTGAAGCTTTGAAAGCAATCAACCTTGAATAAAAAAAACGTCCTTCATGGCCCCTTCATATTAGCATGTGTCAAGAGAATATAAAGTATTTAATAATTATATTCCCTTGTATGTATATGAATATGTTAAAAAAGTTCATTTGGACCTGCTTTTTGCTGCATGTACACTATTCTTGTATAGTGTATTCTGTTTAAGGAGTAAATTCATTAAACCATTTACTGTTACTATACAACCATCATTTTAAGAGGAAGATGTTGGCAACTATTTTTGCTAGAAAGGACCATGACATTTTCAGCGCCATTTAGGTATAGAATACAAAGTTTTGAAATGAGTTTTAGAGAAGTTTATTAATTTTTGAGTCTGATAATTTTTGATTAAATTATTGTAGTATTCGCAATTTCAAATGATCGCAAATAGCTTCGTGCCTTTCTCAGTAGTTTGTGCCTATACATATATACTAGACACTTTTTTTAACCACTATTGTGAATTTTCTCGCTTTCCGATTGGTCTAGAGCCGGGGGAAATAGGAGGACATACCGATAAATTACGTCAGCAAATCACGCGCGTGCTTGAAAACGCTTTTCTCTCTCTTATGATACACTCAACAAAATTACTCGATTCTGATTGGACAAAAGGAGTACAATTAAATCCCAATTTGTACTCTGTAAAGTCCCAATTAGGTTGCTCAGTTTCGTTGAGCGTATTATGAACAAAACATCGCACAATCTTCTCATACAATTCTGAATTTATACATACTCGTGACGTTTTGAAAGTTCTCAAATTGAACTCGCCTAAAGGCTCGTCCAATTGTGAAAGCTTTCAAAACATCACTCGTCCCTATAAATTCCGAATTGTACTCGAGATCGTGCGATTTCCTATACGAATTTTCCCCTTATTTTCGCGGTAAAATCGTTAATTTCCTCCAGTTTTTCGTGTTACGTCCTCTTATTTAGCACTTCGTGAGGCGTAGCCGCGGAAGTCCACAACATATTTTGACGCTAGATGACTAAATCCACTGACACTTTTAGTAAAGATATCGATTTATTGATTGTTGGTTTTGTTTAACTGAATAGATCATTGACCATCCCAGCCGCCACCAAAAGGGGGTCCAAGAATACTAAGGAGAATGGCTACACCAAACACACTGGAACACAACAACTGGCTAACCGTTGGTGAAGCATTATTGGTAACAAAGACGGTACTGGAGCATTATATTCAAAACGTTGTCAGTCATTGGCACCAAATGCTGTTGAAAAGGTTAAAGAAGGCAGGGCCGTGTGCCAGTCCAGCTAAGTGCGAACCTCCTGCTTTTTTATGTCGTAGCTGTAAAGTTTGGTATTATGAATTATGCAAACATCACAAGGGAGATAGTAAAAAGATATCATGGAACAATACCAACTGTACCAAATGGGCCCAACAAAGTCAGGGAGCCTGGGAAGTTGCTAAAGTGTTTATGGCAAATCTTGGTAAAATGAAATCCCAAGTGATTGATGCAAAGTCTACTGACATCGCTGGTTTGCTTAATATCCTCCGATTTTATCCTGACGAAGCATTTCGTGGTAATCCTGTCTCACGCCCAGGACGACAAACGATAGAAGATGTAACGAATCACGCTCGCAATCCTTGGGCACATTCTGCTAAACAGGAAATGACCACGAAAGAAAAAGAGAAATCTTTGAAGAGCCTTACACTGTTTTTGAAAGAAAATGCATTGAAATCAGAATCAGGCGTGGGAGAGGGACTGAATGGTCTGCAAAAACTTGACAGCGATGGAATAACAAACATTTCAATTTCCGAAAGCAATTGCTTAAAACTGCTTGCACTGGAATTGCCTGCTAAAGTGGATCAGATAAAAGATGAAGTCAAGGCTTTGAAAAGCACCTTAAATCTTCAGGAATATGACATCAGCCAAGTTAAAAGTACAATCAGTGATATTTCATCTTCAGTCGAGAGAATGTTGAAAAACAATAGTTGTGAAACCCAGCAACAGCGGAGTGATTTACAAGTACTCAGGGAAGACGTCTGTGAACTTGAACAAGCGGTGGAAACTAAATTAGCTAATCTTGAGAAAAACCAGAAACATTTAGAAGTCAGGCAAGATAGGTTAGAAGAAAACAGAAGAATTTCAGAGAAAATAAATTTGGATGCTGCTTGTGAACCTCTCCAAAGCCGCTTGCCAGACTTCCAAGATAAAGTGTTTGGGCGAGATGCAGATATTGAGAATGCTGCTAATCTAATTCGACATGTTCAAAAACCCTGTGTTGTATTGACTGGAGCCCCTGGTTTTGGAAAAACTACTGTTGCAATTAATTTGGCTCACGAGCTGAAAACAAGTAAAGTGTGTCTTTTTCAAAGTCTGCGTGAGATGCGTTTGAGAAAAGATGTTTGTAGTGCATTGTTAGCTCAGGTTGGCCAACATCCTAAAGATAATGAGATGGAAGAACTACTTCATTGGGCAAGGTCCTTGAAGGAGGAAGTAGTATTCATCTTAGATAATGCCGAGGACGTATTGCAGAATGATAAGGATGCTTTTTGTGACCTCTTACAAAATCTGCGCAACATCAATTCAAGGTTTATCCAGTTTGTAATTACTTCGAGAGAACGTTTTGCCTTGTCTACAATGGAGGTGACTGCGGTAGAAATCAAAGAATTGAATACCGAAAAAGGGATAGAAGTGATACGCTCGATGATACCAGAAGGCAACATTTGTGGGGATTCAGAAACATTCACGGAGCTAGTGAATCTTTGTGGTGGTATACCTTTGGCCCTCAGGATGATTGGTTCCATTTTAGACTGCGTTGACGTCACTTCCTTGATACAAGAGTTGAAGTCCTTTCCTATGGAAACCCTTGAAGATACAACGTTACCTTCTTACCACCAAAGTATTCGTGCGGCATTTGAATGTTCTTTTCAGAAACTAGATAAGTCTTTGCAAGCAAAGCTGGTGCGACTGTCAGTGTTTAGAGGGCCATTCACACAACAGGCTGCTGCTAGCATTCTAGATTGTCAAAAAAGACATGCTTTAGCTGGGAAAGTATTGAGGGAGTTAACTAACAAATCACTTTTGACTAAGTTAGATGATTCAGACAAGAGGTATGAAATGCATTCTCTCATCCAAAAATACTTAATGGATGTCAAGAGGGAGCCATACCAAAATGACTTTGTTGATGCAACAAGCAAATTTATCGACTACTATACTTCAGTTATTATTGAAGGTCACAAGCTCTTCTGGTCCAAAGACGAATTCAAACGCTCCATAGAAATGTTTAGGAGTGACAACCTGAACATTGAAATAGCCCTAGAGATGTGCTATCAAGATGCAGAAAAAATGCAAACATTCTTTTCTAATGTCTGGTCTGTCAGCATGTACCTGGAGATGTGTGTTTCTTTAGAAAAGCTTAACAAATTCCTTGAATCATGCAGCAGTTCAGCGGCAACACAGAATAAAAATGGCGTGGAAATGGGAGCTCAGTGCTTCCTTGCCTACTACGAATGGAAAAAGGCTGGAGATTCAGAAAAATACCAAACATTGTTCAATAATGCTAAGAAGTTGTATGAGGAAGAGGAAAAAAGCCTATGTCCCTCACAAAAATGGCTATACAAACATAGTTATGGAATGCTACTTGATCAGAAAAAAGAGTTTGATAAAGCATTTCAAGTTACTAACGAAGCTGAGCAGATAGCTGAAAGCAACACTGATACCACAGATTTAGCATTAACCCTCAATCAGCTTGGTATCATTGAAAAGCATCGTAAAAACTACAGAGAGGCAGAATTATGGTTGACAAAAGGTCATGAGAAAAGGAAGGAGGTTCTTGGCGAGGATCACATTCTGAGTGTTCCAAAACATCTCGCTGATCTTTATTTGCAACAAGGAAAACATGCTAAAGCCTTGGTACTCTATGAGAAGGGGCTACACACCTACAAGGCTATTGATATGGATAAAGAAAAACAATGTATCTATCTACTGAAAAATATGGGAGCCTGCTGTTTTCAACTCGAGGAGGTGGACAAATCGTTGGAATATTTTCACAAAGCAATGGAGCTGGCAGAAAGGCGGTTGTATGGAGACCAGAAAGTCAAAGTACTTCTCTATTCAGAATTGGCAAATGTATGCTCTAAGCAAAACGCGTCTCAAACGCGTGAGTATGCGCAAAATGCGCTTGAAATGGCCAAAAGACTAGAAATGTGGTGGGGTGGAAAACAGCAAACTGAAAACATAATGAAACAGTTGGACGAGGCCGAAAAGGCTGATTGAGAAGGAAACTGAACACTGAACGAAGGAGAGAATATCGTGCCCATAAGTGAGGCAGCAAAGCAAATAGAATCTAGATGTAAATAAGAATGATCATTTGAAAAATTCAGCACAGTTTGTAACGTACACCAGCATTAGACTTTTTATGTTATATAAAGTTAACCGACAATATATACTAGAAGAGAAAGCATTATTTAGAACTAGTTCGAAACTTTGCTAGCTGAACGCATAAAATGGGTGTGCGCAACAAGATGGACTCTTACCTGACCTTTAACGATCACATCACTTCACTTACATCCTCTCTTTTATACTTATGTCAATAAAGTTAGTCACCAAAAACCTAGAAAGCTGAGATAACCGAGGATCGTGGGAAACTTTCCATATCAAACATGTAAAGCTTTTATACTATCAGCTTGAGGATGCTTAGAAGATGCGAAACTTTAACTTGTAAAAGATGTTCAAGTCCACTGATCAACAGCGGGTGAAACATATAAAATGTATCTACCCATATCAGCTTTGTAGCTTTCAGGTGACTAACTTTATCGAAATAAGTATAGCAATTTTATGTCAAATAAATAGGGTCTGTAACTTATTTTCTAGAGGGGTACTGTACATAATATTGAACTCACTAGTCTTTGGTAACTGCTTACAGATTTGGTCCGGGACCTCCAAAGATAATATTAACAAACTGCAACTAATGCAAAATTTTGCTGCCCGTGTCTTAATACTGGAAAATTATAGACCTTATTCGTGGTGTGACAATGTTTTCCCAATAGCGCAGCGCAGCCGTGACGTCATAAAAACGAAGACAAAGGCGAAATTCGGACAAACAAACTTACAAGTTTACTTTCAGCAGATAATTTTCACAGCCGATCGCAGTTGATCTTAGTTTACATGGGTTATTATTGTAACTTTAAGTAGAAATAAAAAAATCGGTTCGTATAATCCTCGTAGCGGTTAAACAGAATGCAATGTTTGTCCGAATCTTTAAGCTATTTTTAGAATCAGCGCGCTGCGCTATTCAACGTGACAAACCTCTGGGGGAATGAAGAGCTATAGTTTTGCAACTCGTCGGGATATCATTGTTATTCCTTTCGTATCCTTTGGGATACTCGTGAATTTTTCGAAGAGTAAAAACAAAAGAAAATGAATCTGGAGGTTTGTCACGCTGAATTGGGAAAACATTGTCACACCACGAATAAGGTCTATTAATCATATCTCACCTCTGTATGAATGAACTTGCCTGGCTCTCCATTGAAGAGCTTCTGAACCTCCGTGATGTAACAAACAACTCTACTCACATACGACACCGAAACTGGCAGGACTCGAACCCGGGCTGCGTTGGTGAAACAAAATTGAACTATTTCTACATTCATGGACATCAATGGACAATCAATATCGCGTTCGTACATTCATATGCGCGGAATGTATTTTCTTGTGCGCGCAATTAAACTTCAATAAACAATTGCTTTTATTGACAATCATTTACCTAAAAGTGAAAATCCATTAGTGTTATTAGCATAACCATTGACAATCTATAACGCGTTTGGACAATCATGAGCATCAATGTAGCATTCTTTAACATGGTTCGACAAACATTTGCATGATTCAAATAAACATTAAGAGAAAAAAATCAATCATTAGCGTTTTTCTTTAATAACAAAATGTTAGTGAGCAAAATCTCTGGCGTTGCAATTAATGCTCTTGATTACAGTTATCCTTCTATTGCTTCTCTATTAATACAACGTGGGATATATGTTTGCATACTGTTATTGTCCCTATGTTACGTTGCAATGCTTGCAGCAGCAGTCGGTGTGCGGTAACTTGCTTCGGCTCTATCGTTCATCTGACGTTGAATGTCAGGACGTCTGCTTTTATCGACGCTTTTAATGCACTTATTGCCTGTTCTATTTCTTGGTGGCATATCCTACAAAATTGACTGCTTCGCTAAATATAGGTCGACTATTGCGTTCAACGGCTTCTTTATATCCTTCAGAAGTTAAGGTTGTGGTTTTTTCACAGTACACGTAAATCAGCTCTTGTTCTAACTTAATTTTTTTGTGAATTATATTTTGGAGACAACTTTTTAAAAGAATGGCGAATACAGTAAGTGTGTTATATTTTTTTATACTAAGCATTAGCCATTGAGTAATCAAATTTACAATAAACTGTGGAAACCTTGAGTATGTTTTTTTCAAAACTGTGTGTGAACCAGTCAAAATTCGTATATTTAATGAAGCCTGGGGTGATGTCACAGTCATTTACCTATTGAAAGTATAAACCTTCATAACTTAAAGACGCAACATTCAAATGAAATATTTCACCATTACACTATTCACATTATGTGGAATCAATACTGAAAGTATTGTATCAGGAGGGGTTAGGTGTACTTTAACTAACGGTTTTGTGCGATGAATAGTTTAGATTTTAGTTTTCCGATGACGTATTGTCTTCATGTCTCGGGTACCTTGCATCATCAAAAAGAGCCGAATAAAAGCTCATCGATCAACCTTCAAAAACTCATTAATAATTAATGAGCATTTGAACCAATTGGGGCGACCATAAACGTCACGTGCATGGAGCTTTATACCTCATAAAGTCCTCTTCATTAGTATTCTTTATATAAAGAATACTAATGAAGATGAGACTTTATGTAAAGTCTCATCCTTATTAGCATTCTTTATACACGTATTTCAATAAAGCTAGTCACCTGAAAAGCTATAAAGCCGAGGGCGACAAGGATTATGGGTMGATTCATTTTTCACGTTCATTTGCTTAAGAACTGTTCATGGACTTGCGAATTTTCTACCGGTTAGTCTCACCTCTTCTGAGCATCATCGACCTGCAGTTTGCATTAAAAAAGCTTTGTATACATATGCTTTTTTGATATGGTTTCCCATGATGCTCAGTGACCTCAGCTTTCTAGGTTTTTGGTCACCAACTTTATTGAAATAAGTGCATAAAGAATACTAATATGGACAACCTTATCAGAATAAAGGTGCATCCAAGTTTAAATGAAGACTTAGAGCCTCATCAAGGTCAGTCTCATACCCATAAATTTTCGCCAACAAGTGCCCGTCTTGAGTTCGGCATGTTGTCTTCAACTTGTGGGAGCCTTTTTTGCACTTACTGCGCTTTGCAGTGATGTACAAACCTCACTGCGCATGACATTGCTGTACCAACGACTATCAAAGCATAAAAGTTAATGTTCGCAAGGTATATGGTCGCTCTACCTCAACCAAAGGTTTTTGAATTATACCCAAGTTTTCAAAGCCGTTTAATAAACTCACAGATCGTGTTTTATGGGGTCTAAAACCTGATAAAACACTCCTGGGCCCAGTTGTTCAAAGCTGGATTAGTGCTAATCCTGGTTTAACTCTTAATAAGACCTATAGAGTTAATCCTGGATTAGCCCTAATCCAGCTTTGAACAACCCGGCCCTGCTCGTTTATTAAACAGTACTTAAATCCACCCTTGCACCCAGCTTGGTAAATATAACACACAAAATAAAATCAAATTAGGGAGTTTCATTCTTTATTACACATTTGCTCAAGTCTACAACTCAAAGCACAGGGGTCACTGTTGTCTTCTCTGATACATATATGCCATCCAAGAACTTTCTGATATCTTTGTTCTTGACCAATGTGGACTGATGGATAAGAGCAGCTGAAACATTAAAAAAAGTATTGTTATATATTATTGTTATTATGCCCTGGCCAGACCTTGCTTGCAGTAGACTTTATTATGTATTTTGCAAGGTAAAATACAGGGGCTATTACATGGTGGAAGTGAAGATATGAAGTTTATCTTTGAGTGGTGAAATAGTTTTCAACACAAGAAGATAAACTTTTATATCTTCAAGCCAATGCCTAATTTTCTTTTCATTTTATAGACACATTTACAAACAAAAACATCACAGACTATTCGATAGTAGGAAAATTATGAGCAATTAAAAATAAATAAAATAAAATATTGTTTGAAATTCAGGCTTGTCAAATCAAAGCAAAATAATGTGTTGCTTTATGTTGAAAATTTAAAAAATCATCTATAGTTTATTACTAGGTTGCCTGTTGCAGCCCAGTCATAAAATGCCTTTGTTTTTTTTTTGTCTTCTCCTTCTCAAGAAAAGTGCAAGTTGCACAAGGGTACCTCTTGATGTTCTGTACATGCAAAATTAACTCGGAATGAGCTGATAATCCGTATGTACAGATAAAAGCAGGGTATATAGTATACACTCGATTGAAGAATCGTTGTTGGGTTCAGAAACATAGAACATAGAAGCTGAGGCCAAAATGGTACATGGGAAGTACGTTAGATGCATGCTGTGACCTGCGACCTGTGGCATCATCCACTGTTTTTAATACGCGTTTGGCATTCTAAACTGACTGCATGGATGGCTCAAATGAATAAGTTATAATATAATTATGTTATTTCCCATGTGCCATTTCCGTCTCAGCTTCTATGTTCTATGTTTCTGAACCTGACAACAATTCTTCAATTGAGTGTATATTCAATAGAGAATGTACACAAGCACCAATCTCTAGCACGAAGCATGATGGGAAACCAAGCAGTGGTAATCAGTGAAGTTACCGTGAGTTCAGTTGCCCAGAGTCGTGGTTCGGTCACCCGTAATGAACGGTTCAATGCCTATAGTTCATTTCTTAAGGGAATTGTCAAACCAATTATACAAATATAATAATAATAATAATGATATTTGTTTAGACACGATTGATATTACAGCATGGCTGATGTTGTAGTGTATAATTTTAAGACTATAATAAGATAATAATTATTGGAGACGAGAAAACATTAAAATAAGTGAATAAAGAAATCGATGAATAAGATAACAAGATGAAACTAAAAGCTTTATAAAACATTTGCAAGGCATTTTAGATTAGTTTTGGCAACCATTACAAGGTCAAGATCAAACAAAGATCCAGTCAGTCAGCAAACACTACATTTCTTTCACTGCTATTCCATTTGTTTCCAAATAAAGCTTTTAACTTCACTTCAGTTCTACTTAACCAAATCACTTTTTTAAAACTTATTTCAAAGCAATTAAAATCAATGATTACAGTACTTATAAGCCGTTCACCTCACTTCCAAGTAGGAATTTGAAGCACCGCAATTTTGAACATTTATAAACACTCTTCGTATAAAATGAGTAAAATATTTATTTACGAAAACCACAAAAACTTGTCATTTGTATTTAACTTATGGAAAAAACTCCGCTAATAAAAGATCAGGTGTAGTTGGCGACTCAAACATAATGCACACTAGTAAATTTAACTTGTTGTGAAACTTATTCAGCGTTATATAAACAGTGTCCTTTCAAGTTTTGGGCTTGGCTTAGCTTGGTGATGCCACTACAAAAACCATGTCTAAAAATGTCAGGTATCACTTATTAGAAGTTAATGATTTCCTCTTTCTTCAGAATTTTTGGTTAATAAACAACATGTTTATAATGTCAAAACATAATTTTTAACAACAGAGGTATCAAAGGAATATTTTTATCAAGAAACATATAGCATCATATATCACAACTTACTATAGAATTACTTATAACTGCTATCTCCAGTTAGATTTCACGAATATAATAGAGTCTGAAAGTAATGGCATCGCATCTCGTTGACGCCCCATCTTCCATCGAAGTTTTTGTTTTGGCAAATTATGTGTAAACATGATAAATGCAAGAGCTCTTAAACAAATGGTAAGAAGTTTTTGTTATAAGTTGGAAGCTGGTTAAAATCAGCTACGAATATTTTACAAGCCAATCATGACTGACTGGATCTTTGATTGATTATGTTTGTACCTTGTAATAATTGCCCAAAACTATTCTTACAAAGATTTTATAAAGCTTTACTACTGCTAAATACATTATATTTGTGTTACTGGTTTGACAATTCGCTTATGTAATGAACTCTGGGCGACTGAACCTTACATTACAGGCGATGGAACCAGGACTCCTGTTTGTGCTACACAAATTAGAACAGAAATCAATAGAATTGTCACAAAAAAATTACTCTTATTTTCATCTGTTGAAATACTTACTGTTTCATAGGAAATGTTGAAAGAAAAATTGTCAGAGGAATTTTTAGAGGAGCTGAAAAACCATAAGTACTCAGTTTCCCATCATTTTCAAAATTTTCTAGGGGCACAAAGTCGAACCAGGGAGGGTTGCGCACCCCCTGCATCTCTACCCTGGATTTGCCCCTGGTCTTGTTTTTGAAAACTTTCACAAAAGTCGATTCAAAGCGTTATGCTACAAAATGTGTTTATTATATAATTTTCTATTTTATTCAGTTTATAGTGTCCTCAATAAGTATATCTATGCTTAAGTTATTTGACAATTATTATTATTATAGTTATTATTATTGCCGTGTGGTTGTGTTGCTTTTATTGTTACAAGTGGATAATAATAAAGATAATAATAATAATAACGGTTTATTCCAGCTTTTCTACAGAGTAGTCTGGATACTAAACTAAGAGACTAATAATATCTAAATACTACATAAGCCCAACCCTACTGAAATAAAACCTATAACCAAGCCCCAACCCATGATAATAAGTGAAAAAAATTACCAATTAAAATTCCCCAGCATAGTCCCTCCGTCACATATACATCCCCCACCCCTGTCTATTTAATAAAGCTAATTTAAAAGTGATAGTAAGTGAAATATAATGTTTATGTACAATTAGAGTTATTCAAAGGCTATACTCTAGTTATTTATCTGACATCCTGGAATAGTGAATAAGATGATGACATAGATAATGACCAAGTCAATCTTGAGTAAATGCCTTAAATTTGGAAATTGAAATTAAAGTTTGAAAGTTTGATTTCATACACATACCAGAATTTGACACAAGCTCCAAATCATTGCCTTCAATTGTGATCTCATCTTTGACTCCTGGTGAATTGTAGCAATTAACACCTTCTCTCATATTAACTCTCCTCACATACTTTTCACCCAAGAAGTTCCTGATCTCCACAAGTTTACCATCCTCATGAATAGTGATATTAATTGGGAAATGAGCATAAACTGAACGCATTTTATACTTAAAGCCCTGAAAAAGAAAAGTAATAACAGGATGACTTTGTTACTTGTGCAATTCCAACGACTAAGGGAAAATTTTCATCTCAAACAACCTCTAACATTGAAATTATAAATTATAAATATTTGCATTGAACCAGACAAAACACTGTTTAAGACACATTTTATATTTGTCAGGCTGATTTGTTATATTTAAGAGATGGTCAATGATTGGCATGCATTTAACCAGCTCTAGATGTATGCAGGAGAATTACGGATGATTTACTGACTGGTTCACCCGAGGTTTTTAGCCTGTGATATAAAGTTGCTTGCCCAATGTATTTCAATGCACACAAACAAAAAACATTACATAAAGTAAATTTCATGGAATTTGAAGTCTAACAAAGCAATATTTAGACTTAAAGTGCTATTCTGATGAAAATCGCTCAAACTTGGATTAGCTGAAACTTCCTAAGAATATTCTTTAAAGGTCCATTAATCACTGTATGAAGTGTTTTCTCGATATTCAGGACAAAAGTATGATATTTTTACGATTATTTTTTGGAGTCTGTGACATCATACGCTCAACATCAAACATTGCTACATATATTTCTTTGTATATAAATCCTTAATTTATTTTATTCCTATGAAGCCCAAAGGGTGGCTAACGTGCTTATTTCACATTACTCGTGACTATAATTTATATTTTGGGGTGTTTGGGTATTTCTTTCTCCCTTTACTACTGATATTTTGATCATAAACTACAAAGAAATGTATGGAGCGATGTTCGATATTGAGCGTATGACGTCACAGACTCCAAAAAATAATCATAAAATATCATACTTTCGTCCTGAATATCAAGAAAACACTAAAGTTTCACAGTTATGTTGTTTGCACTCTATTATAATTAAATTTTTAGTGGGTAAAGATCTCCAAGAAATCAACCAAATATGACAGAAATACATTAAAACTACAAAAATTGTGACTTACATAGGTAACTCCTTTGATCATGTTTTCAATATGGCTGAGGATGGTCTTAACGCAGGCCAACTCCTTGCGGGATGCAAACCACACATCTACTCGCAGTTTTTTCTGAGACAACTTTATTAGCTCAAGTTTTAAATGGCGAAAGTTGCGCTTCAGAGTTCCACGAGGACCCTTAACAGTCACTATGCGACTCTTGACAAACACGTCAACTACAAAAGGAAATTTAATCATTTCATTAAATGCTGATGAACAAGTCAATGTGTTTAATGGTGGGTAATTTTTCAAAGCTAATTATCATTATTACTGTATGTTTATCAGGATATTCAAATCAAGCTGCCTGTTTTTGAAAGAAAGAAAAGATTGATCTTTTTATCTGAAAGACATCTGATCAAACCATATATTGTATAAAGAATCTGGACTAACAAAGTAACAGAGGAGCTTTGAGTGGTTTAGGGACATACAAGTTTGAAGACAGTATTTTAACCTACCATTGTCTGGTAACTCAACCGTTCGAGATGCCAAAGTGGTCTTCATGACTGAAAAAGTTTATTTTATAGTCAAGCGTGAGTAGAGAGGAATACTTAAATGTCCTATGCACAACATAAACACAACTGGATAAGAACGTATAACTCTTTCATAGGTTTCTATCATAAAAATATTGGTATCATTAAACAGCAAAGGACGAAATAAAGATATCAAAAACTATAATTCTCTACCAACGATGATCCTCTATATGCAATATTGCTCGAGAGAATTGGCCTAAAAGCTTAGTTTTACCTAATACTTAGGTGTACAAAGACGAAAAATTCGCCATTCTAGAGGTTGACATAGGACATACAAAATGGCTAAAATATGACAATCAAGAATGGTATTTATCGAAAAGAATAACAAAGCCGTATAGCCAACTTAGCTATTAAGATTTAAGTATATATCTAGATTACGGATGCTTTGTATTCATAGCAATAATCTAGTAGATTTCATTTCTATTTTCCTGACCTGATGAGACCTTCGATAGAAGATGGCGAAGAGGAAGACCGTGAGCCTCGTTCCACTTTTAGAGCCCAGGTCTCCGCAGCATGGTATAAACTTAGAGATGGGTGGGAGGGTAAGGGTGTAGTAATATCAAGCAAATTGGAATTCCTCTAAAATGGGAAACGCTACTGAAATAATGTTTTTGGAAACATTGAGAGTAGTAAGCATGAAATAAAGAAATAACTAAATGGACAATAGCAGTGTTTTTTTTTCATATATACGGTTTGATATAAATAATTTCCGTTCTCTACCCCCCTTAGTAAAACATTCTTTGCCATGTTGGCATTCAGCCGGCGATAAGAGAAGAAAAGCTAGGGAGAGTAATATCTCAAAACTCCCATACTTGTTGATAGTCTAATCTTGTATTACTCGTATGTAAGAATGCATGATGGGGGCGCTACAAGTACGACTACGATATTTGCTAACATTTTTATCTCTTTTATTGGTGCTGGCATACTGGGAATGCCTTATGCCTTCAAAGTGGTAAGCATTATTTAGTGCTTCATGTCTTACTCTTTGGGTCCCTGTCGACTTGTTTTATAAACACAACAAACTGATGAAAAGTAACCTATATGTTTTCGATTAGGCTGGTGTCGTCGAAGGTTGTGTCATTATGGCTTTAGTAGGGATCATAAGGTATGGTTTAATATTAGTTTAAACTTAGCTTTAAGGTTATATAAAATTTGCTCATTTGCAGTTCATTCATGGTTTGATATTTGTAACTTTGTTCTTACAAACAACTTGCTCCACAATATGACACAGCAGGGTCCCTTCCGAGTTACATTGCACCAATTTCCAACTCTGTAAAATCTCCATACCCATCCCACAATCAAAAAATTCAAAAAACCCTTTAAGTGAAGGGGCAGTACTAAGGATGTGTGAAAGTGGTCATTGCAGGGTTTTTTTACATCTACAATAATTCCTTTACATTCATCTGATGTGTGAGGAAGGATGGACAGGCAGGACTGGCTTTTTATGTCTTTAGTCCAAACCTGCTACACCCATTTTTCAAATTATGTGACCTAGACGGCTTCAGACCCCTGTAGTTTTGGCTTCTTTAAATCAAAGTTAGCATGAGCTGGCATGGGTTAAAATAAACTCCTGCTCAACCAATCAGAGACAACTGTTCCCATGCTTGAAATGGACAAAGTATTTTGATTTAAATTGTAAAGTTTAAGAAAATGTGGTTCAATAAATTTGTTTGAGTTTGTTTTCATATCTGATCTTCAAGGTTATAGATTTGTTGAGTTTATTCACAATAAGGTAGAACTATTGACAATCAATATACTAAGATTATCTGCATTTGAGAAGCAATTTGAAATGGCTGTCGGGTGGAGGGAATTTCTTTAAACTTGGCCCTTCCGGTAACTTTGTTTAGATCTCTTGCACCATAGTCATTAACTATATGCTTGCACCTATAGTCTCAAGTCCAAAAGTTATTCGAATTTGGGCTTCAGGACTATCTGTTAAGGCAGCACCTAGCTATATAGCATCAGTTTTTTAAGACCCTAAGTGGTGGTCCAGCCAGGGATTGAACCCACAATCTTAATGCTGCTCTCACATAAAAATTAGTTGCTCATCCTCACCCCAGCAAGGTGATATGGTTATTTATGAGAGTCATCTGACAAATTCTGTAGCTGTCTTTATTTCACAATCTTTACTGCTGCCTCAGCTTTTGCATTAGACCAATGATAATTTATCAGTAAAAGGTGCTTTAATTTCCATTCTTTACTGAACTCTGTAAACTTTAGACTTGTGAGTCCATCAGAGAATGTCTGCATGGTATTTCATGAACCATTCTTGGAGAACCCCTAGCACTATAACTGCTGCTGATGTTATAGCTTTTATATGGCTTGCTTCTATTTTTTATGGCATGAATCATGTAAAACAGCAACTGTCTTTTTATTGTAAGATATTTGACTGTTTAAATTTTTTCCGTGTTTAAATAAAGTTTTCAATTTTTGATTTCATCTTAGTGTCAGAGCAATGCTTCTTATTGTTGATTGCAAAAACAAATTAGTCAGTATCAATTGGTCAAGGGGAAAATCTATATTAACCAAAGCAAAGGAAAAGATATCAGAAGAAAAAGAACCATTTTCTATTCAAGATGGTGCTAATTTAGAAGCAATTATGGTAAGTACTGTTACTTGCAGTGGACTACACCAACCAAGCTAGGCCACTGGGCCACCCAGACAAATTTTTACCCAAATTAGCCAATCACAAAAGAGTATAATTTAAACAATTGAATCTGCACAAGTGTTCACATTCATTCTGTTAAAAGCATACATGTATTTTATGTTATAAGACAGTGTGAGTGTATAATCAGAAGTGAACAAGAAACAGTCTTAACTCCAGAATTCATCACTGTGATATTGTTCAGCATCTATAACATGATATGTGAATTTGAGTTAACATTTGTTTGGCTGGCCTTGGTTAATCATGCAGTTTGCATCAAGAGAGCATATATAAGAGAGGGAAACTTCTTAATATCGTGTGCACCATGTAAATTCCGGGTTGGGCTATTTTTAGTAATCGGATGCAGTTTAAATTTCACCTTAATACCCTATTGTGCATCAACTAGCATGTGTGTGTATGAGTGAAAGGACACATGTTTCGTCAGGCTACTAGTCCCCTGAAGAGGCTACCAGAGAACCAGAATAACAAGCCATAATAGTATATGGTTATCTAGAAACAAATGCTTCAAAATCAACTGAACCTCATTACATCCAGTGATTGTTTAAAAGCCTTGAGCTATTCTTACTGTTCTTAACTTTCACACTTTATTAAAAAACATCTGGAACTAAAAATAATTTATTGTTTTCTATTTAAAGGGAGACTGGCAATTAAATCTTTCGAAATTAATTCAGCTGAAACTTCAATGAAATAATCAGTCTAATAATAATCTAATAATCAGTCGTTAAAGTTTTTTCTTTATATTGTGTAGTTCCAGAAATCATCCATACCCACCCCACAGAGGAATTTGGAATTTCCAAAGAGTAGGGGGGTCAGAGGAAGAACAAAAATTACAGATTTTGTTTGGATGAAAATTTCTCTGTGAGGGGGGTATGGATAATTTTTGGAACTACACAATCCAAATGGAAGTATTATATTTTTACAAATTTCTATAGGTGTCTGTGACATCATACACTCAACACTAAACATCGCTCCATACATTTCTTTGTAAATAATTTCATGTTTTAATTTATTTCTATAAGCCCAAAGATCTATTGAGGGACTTAACGTACATTACTTGTGGTTAGAATCATTTTATGGTATCTTTTCTTCAATACTGAGTATAAAACTTGCGGATATTTTGATTACAAAATACAAAAAAATGTATGGAGCAATGTTTAGCGTTGAGCGTAAAAATTTGTAAGAATATAATACTTCCCATCCGAATATCAGGAAAAAGATTTAATCAGTGATTATTAAGCCGAGGGCAAACGTCAAACTTTCCATGCACCAAACTCATTAAAAACAATGGATATATAGCTCTTATTAACCGAGTGCGAGGTCCGTACCGTAAGTTATGGACCGAGTTTTTTCCACTGCCTTATGGCCCAAGCGCGTAGCGCGCGGGCCATAAAAAAGTGGAAAAAACGAGGATCCATAACTTATGGTACGGACCGAGCAAACGAGGTTAATAAGATATTTATTATATGGCAAGACATTGAGATCAAAAAGAGGCGAGGCAACAAAAAGTAAAGTTGACAGCGCATGTCAAACRAGAACTGCATTGGAAGGGCTTCCTGTACGTGCCAAAAGTCATGTAGTGTTTGAGGCGCTCAAAAGGCGAAGTTTTAGTTTACTTTGAAAGAATTTAGCTAAAATTCAAAGTTTTCTGAAATACTAGTTAACAAAAGTGAGGCTTTATTTTGCAAAACATATAAATGCAAAGCAAAAAAGGCATCAAAAGAAGACCTCAAGAACTCAACATGAGATTGAGAAGAAAACTGTCGTACTTCAAACTTCAAGATATTCACAACCAAGATGAAA